TTCAAATGAGGACAATACTGTTAACGTTTTGGCATATTTTTATGCATATCCAGAAGCTTCCATTCGCAGTGCAGAAAAAGATTTAGGTGTATCACATGCTTCAGTACAACGAATTTTGAAAAATCACGGAATGCATCCGTATAAATTTACCAAAGTTCAAGCTCTAAAAGCAGAAGACTTCGAACGTAGAATGCATTTTTGTGAATCCCTTTTGATTCATACACAGGAAGATCGGGAATTTTTGTCAAAAATAATTTGGAGCGACGACAAAATTTACGAGGGATGGTATTGTCAATAGAAGGAATAAACATTTTTGAGCTGATCATAATCTTCATGTTACAAAAGAAATGGGTTTTCAAGAAAAATTTGACCTGAATGTTTTCTGTATTCTAAAGAACAATAAAATTAGCTTTTTTATTGACTTGAAAAAACTTGACGATTTAGGTATAGGGACATGATATATCATCTTGAAGCATTTTTCACCATATTTCAATTTACCGAGTAAAATACAGGAGGTTCATTTGAAAAAATGAACTTTCGACTACTTTTATGCACAATGGAAATAATAGTAATTTTAGCACGCCCTGTATGATATGGAGTCGATTTCTTAAATGAAACGTGTGATATCTAATAGGTTTTTACCTCCATAAGTTTGGATATTGCTAGACAATTATTCATTTTTGAAACCCTTTGAGTATAATAACCAATAAGAATATTCCAAAAGTTCAGACTAACACGAGATCTCTAAATCGCTTCAAATAACAAAGTTGAACCTTCATTGAGAGAACTGTACCTATTTTTCATTTTGATGCTGACCGAATAAACTTGCCCATTGATCTCACATAAAATCATGAAGAATAAAAGATGACTCGCTTCGACAAAAACACGTTGAATCTGAAAAATCCGAAAATTGGGTCGCATGGAATTTTTTTGGACATGGAAAACCAAAATGTCTTCATTCCATCGACTTCTATTCCATTTCTGTGTGGTAGAAATGTACACAAGTTTCATTCATCGTCTCAAGACGGCTGCTCACTTTTGATTTTTTTTTCAGAGCAAGTACATATTGAAAGCGATGCTTTCATTCTTGTATGTTTCTGATCAACTTCGAGACATTTGGTAATCCATTCTGAGGATATTTTTTACATTTTGAATCGATGTTAAGTATGAAATGGATGCTTCAGATAATCATTTCAACCCGAATCGACAAACTGCATTGATTTACACAGGGAAAGATACAGAAAATGACTTTCCTGATAGGTCTTCATCTTTAATGAAGTTTGCAATCATATTTTCCATGGTCGCATATGAAGGACATTAACAGTCGAGGGTATTGAAATGATCACCTCTTAACTCTTTCAAATACAGGTATTCGATGATTGCTGGATTTCCACAACTCCGCTTAACATACTATTTTTCAAATTCCATTGCGCAACTCTGGTTCACACTGTCACTATTAATATTCATGAAATGTAATGGACATTTTTCCATTCATGGAACCGGTATGAGCCGACTAGAAAGCAATACAAAAATACATATCATACAATAAATTGAAATAAGAGGTGAAACTGAAACCTCTGGCGTAAAATAAAACCAATTATCAGAAATGCAGTACTTTTCTCGATGCGGGTTTCATTAACCAAGTTGAAGTCTTCAGGAGAAGAATAAAATAGTTCTCTTGATCTCCTGAAGATTCTGGTGTTTCGAAAGGTAGGTACTTGTTTTGGATCCTTGTTATTCATAAAATCTGTAATTTACACAAATGTCCAGAAATAAAGGAACATATTACATGAATAATCCGTGAACGATCGTGACTTTGATTTTAGCTCTATTACAATATTGATAATGAATCAAACACTCCACGATGAGGTATCGTGAATTTATTGAATGATCAATAAATGACAAATTTTATTTTCGTTTCAGTATTTACTTTTTTTTTGGTGATTACCTAAAATCGTTTCGACTAATATATTCTATATCTCTTCCAGGTGAGCTTCCATGACGAATATGAATTATTGTGTGGCGGGTCTATTTTGGATGAATACACCATTCTTACTGCAGCACATTGTGTTATTGATTTGTAAGTGATATACAAACCTATTGGCATATTCATCTGTACTCAATTCATGTAGCACAATGATTGAAAAATGAAGTACAAAGATCATTTCGACTATAACTATTCACTTCGATCTCTTCGATTCAACTAGTTTTGAAAACTGTGCTTGATATTTGAACTAAATTTTCAATTCATGTTTTTTACTATTCCCAGTTTCCAACATCATCTCTTGTGAAGACAAGGGTGGCTATTGCTGAATCATTCATTTTCCTGTAGCTGAACTCATTCATAGATCTGCGATTGGACTGATACTCAGAAAAATAGTGGATTAGGGCTGAGACGAATCTCTGCCAAAGATCGAATTATGAACTCAAGAATACAGATATGAGTCTAATGAGTCTCAGATACTATTTATCTTTCGGCACTGCCGTGAGTGGAAAGTTGTTTATGAGGGGGCTACAGATGATTAACAGAAAAACTAATTTCAATTTTGATTTTAATTCTGTGGTATCGAAATGAGCTGAGGAAGCATATCAACATGAAGCTCTGGACGATTTAAAAAAAAATCCAAATTCATTGTTATCTATACAGGGAGTTGATTAAACATGAGAAAAAAAATTTGAGGTACCATTCCTTAGACTATTCGGAGGATATTTGGTCTTTTGATGATTTTTGATAGGAGTCTGTGTTTCGAAGATACAGAGCGAAAATAATTTCGACATTAACAATTTATTGCCAAAAATCACATGTAATGTTTTTCAATCTACAACAACTGTTGAAAATTACTACTCCTACTCAGATTACTACCCCCGCAAGAATACAATCTTCTCCTCATCGACTCCTGACCTCTTTCAAAAACACCAGCAATCATCCGATTTCTCAAATCTTCCATATCTTCCACTGGAGTAAAATAAACTAATGACTTCAGGTGGCCTCATAGAAAATAATCCAGGAGGTTTAAGTCCGGTTATCGAGTAGGCCATAAGAGAGGTCCACATCGACTAATCCAGCGATCTTCGTATGTTACTGTTGAAACCTCTCGACCCAACATGCTGAAATGCACTGGTGCACCTTCGTGAATAAACCACATTGTATTTCTTGTAACCAATGGTACATCCTCCTGAAATTGAGGAAGCGTTTGTTCCAAAAAATTGAGGTATACCTCGCCGGTAATTCTTCCTGGCAGAAATACCGGTCCAATTAGAAAGTTACCTACAATTATCACCCAAACGTTTAACGAGAACTGATGTTGAAAGCGATCTTCAAGCACCTCATGTGGATTTTCTTCAGCCCAAACATGATTATTGTGAATATTCCCAATGACATTTCTTGAGAAACTGGCTTCATCGGTAAAAAGAATAAGCGTCAGTAGTTGAGGTATTTGACCCAATGTGCGCAAAAGCAATACGTGGAAAAAAATCTGCAGGAAGAAGTGCCTGAACTCGTTTTATGTGGTATGTGTACAACAAATAGTCTCTAAGAATATTTCAAAGCGTTCCATTACTCACATTTAAAGTATTTGCAATTTCTTGTGCTTGTTTAATGTATTTTCATGCACTTTTACTGTGACATCCAATGTTTGTGGTATTTTGTTTCGTTTTGTAACCACTTTATTTCATTGTATTTTAATAATGACTATTCCCATACATTCTAGATGTCAAAAGGAAAATAAATATTATTATTATTATAAAACCTCTCTTTCCCAAAACTCAATCTCTCCTAAAAATATACTATTTCAATTTATTCAATACAGATATGGCACATGTCCCTTAAAGACTTCCAAATCTATGAAATGAGATTGAGTTGTGTGTGAGTTCCAGTCAGTGTCTAAAACCTGATGCTTCGATTATTTTGGCAAATTTTGTTAGATCATCATTTAATATAACTTGAGCGGTCGATACACATCAGCAGGAATGTAAAAACTTCCTATATTATTCATGTTCTTGGTTTTCCACTGAAACTCAATATGACATGACAACATTGAAATTTTCCAGACTTTGAGACTTCCTATTTACTTCATTTTAGATCTTAATGGTTTTTAATAATAACTTAATAATAATAATAACTTAACTGCAGAAGTCGTTATATTGAAGGACATGAAATTCAATAGGTTAACCACGCATTCTTTATGTACCTCATGAATTTAAATTGTTAATATTTGCAGTAGTGATCACGACCGTTTTGCCTTTTTTTTTCATGCTCATCCAGAACTAACTTTGAACCACTGTTTTCTCAATCAACTCACAACTGAATATTTCAGGTAGCTAGCTACTTTTCAATTTTCAGTTGCTAGTATTTTTATTTCAATTGATTCCATAGTATTCAACTTTTCATAGTATTGAACGTTCTATGAACACCTCGAAGNACTCACTAGATGAGTATTTTAAAGAAAATTTTTGATATTAACTTGTGCTTGTTTAATGTATTTTCATGCACTTTTACTGTGACATCCAATGTTTGTGGTATTTTGTTTCGTTTTGTAACCACTTTATTTCATTGTATTTTAATAATGACTATTCCCATACATTCTAGATGTCAAAAGGAAAATAAATATTATTATTATTATAAAACCTCTCTTTCCCAAAACTCAATCTCTCCTAAAAATATACTATTTCAATTTATTCAATACAGATATGGCACATGTCCCTTAAAGACTTCCAAATCTATGAAATGAGATTGAGTTGTGTGTGAGTTCCAGTCAGTGTCTAAAACCTGATGCTTCGATTATTTTGGCAAATTTTGTTAGATCATCATTTGAAATAACTTGAGCGGTCGATACACATCAGCAGGAATGTAAAAACTTCCTATATTATTCATGTTCTTGGTTTTCCACTGAAACTCAATATGACATGACAACATTGAAATTTTCCAGACTTTGAGACTTCCTATTTACTTCATTTTAGATCTTAGTGGTTTTTAATAATAACTTAGTAATAATAATAACTTAACTGCAGAAGTCGTTATATTGAAGGACATGAAATTCAATAGGTTAACCACGCATTCTTTATGTACCTCATGAATTTAAATTGTTAATATTTGCAGTAGTGATCACGAACGTTTTGCCTTTTTTTTCATGCTCATCCAGAACTAACTTTGAACCACTGTTTTCTCAATCAACTCACAACTGAATATTTCAGGTAGCTAGCTACTTTTCAATTTTCAGTTGCTAGTATTTTTATTTCAATTGATTCCATAGTATTCAACTTTTCACAGTATTGAACGTTCTATGAACACCTCGAAGGTTTGTATGANTTTTTTTGTATCAAGATGGAGTAGTAGAAAACCAAAAACTTTCTTTCCCAAAAAAATTGAATCAATAACACGAGATGAAAATTAAAAATTATTACCAAGAAATGAAAATTAAACAATTTTAAAGATTCCAAGCTTAGTTACTTCACGACGTTTTGATTGCCAGTATCCACAATCGTCTCCGTGTTATAACTGGACTTTCTCCTAAACTAGTGTTTCTCCTTGTGGATGATTTCAGATTGTGACCACTTGATGTTATATTGATGAGTCCAAACATGCTCTGCTATTCCTAATTTGCTGATTTCTCGTCACTGTGTGTGTTTCTTGCACTCGGCAATTCGAACTTTCAATGACCTCTTAGTTTCACCATTGTATGATTCTCTGCACTCGCAGGGTATCCGGTAAATGCAATTTTTGGAATAGCACTCCACTTTTGATGGCCTGGTTTTTGTGAGGCTCTTAAGGATGGTATTCCCAGATCTGAAGCAGGTTCTGATGTTATACTTGGACCCAATTCTTCTTATCCTTTCCGACAATCCTCTGATGTAGGGAAGTACTAACCATTCCGTTGAAGGTCATTTTTGATGATTCATAGTTTCTTTTCGAGACCTTCCTTTGTATTACAGAGCCCGAAAGTACGATCTACTAGAGTATTGATGATTTCTCTCTTAGTCGATTGGTGGTGGTTGGATTCCTGGTTAAGATAATGTCCCATGTAGGTGGGTTTTCGGTATACAGATGTTTTCCATTAAGTGTCGGTTCTCTTCACCAATACGTCTAGCAATGGAAATTCGTTGTGGACTTCCCTCTCCGTTGTGAAAGTGATAGAAGGACTACCTAGATGTCTAGTTCTGCATTCCCATGGTTCGATATTATGACGGTGTCGTCCACGTATCTCAATCAGAATCGGGGATTCTTTTGTGCTTTTTCAATAGCCAGAGTTTCAAATCACTTTATATATATGTTGTCTATAACCGGTTGAACTGGCGATACCATTGGCAGTCCCTCATCCTGCGTAAAGAATTCGTCTTTCAGTTGGAAGTAGCAGTTTCGTACACAGCATCCTAGTAAATCCATGATTACTTGTATCGGCAAGTTTGTTCTATCTTTCGGATAGCTTCCTCTGTATGATTTGAAGTGCTTCTTTGACAGGAACGTTGGTGTAGAGGCGTTCCACGTCGAAACTGATTAGTTGATCCTGCTCTTTACTTCAATTGCCCCTAGTAATTCGACAAAATGCTTCGAATTCTTCACAAAAGATTATGTTTTTCCTTACAGTGGTTTTATTATAGGTAATGAAAATCTGGACAAGTTTTGAATAGCTGAATCTCTGAAGCTAGGATACACCACAAAACATTGCCAAACACCTTCAAACAATAATGAAGTATAATGAATTATTACGATATTTAGTGAAAAAACTTCTCCAAACAATAACTTAGAATGGCGCTAGTGTAGCAAAATACTAAAATGGTTTTGAAACCATACGATTCCACATTTGCAATGTTTCTTATTGAATGATAGAAGTTTGGACTTCCCTTATATTGGAAAGAATACAAAAACATACTTTTGATTTTAAAATCGATAAATGAATGAAATAGTAAAGACTCTAAAGCTGGAATATTCGGATTTCTGGAAGACGATAAGGGATAAACAATGGGATCTGTACTGTCAAGTCATACTATCTTCAATACAGAAAAGAAATTATTGTGACTGACATGGGAATCAATTGATGATATGCAGGAATAATATGTTATTGGTCGAAAAGCTGAATGATACAGATAATTTATTCATCATTGAAGTTTTTTACACAATGGTACAAAACTTATCAGACTAGTCAAAACATATTATAGTATTACAAC